ACAGGCGCCCGCCACAACGCCTGGCTATTTTTTTTTGTTGTTGTTGCAGCCGTCATTATTGTTTGGCGGGTCCGGGCTGGGGATTTGAACCTGCCACCTTAGGTGTACGTGGCTGGTGCCTTAGCCAGTTGAGCTATAGGCGCCGAGCCTTTTTCTTTTTTTTCTTTTTTTTTTTTTTTAGAGACAGGGGTCTCGCTCTAGCTCCGGCTAGTCTCATACTCATAAATTCAGGCAATCCACCCACTTGGGTTTCCCAGAGTGTTAGCATTACAGGTGTGAGCCACCACCTAATGAACACTATCTCAAAGGAGAAAAGCAATGGTGTCCATTGTACTTCACGGGTTTGCTTGTCTCTCCTGAGATGGGGGTGATTTGAGGATATTTTCAGAACTTTGAAAGGGTCCAACAGCTAAGAAGAGAAACTTTGGCCACACTCAATGGTTCATGCCTATAATCCTAGCACTCTGATTATTTGAGCTCAGGAGTTCAAGACCAGCTTGAGCAAGAATGTGACCCATTCTCTACTAAAAGTTGTAAAACTAGCCAGCATAGTGGTGGGCACCTGTAGTCCCAGCTACTCTGGAGCCTAAGGAAAGAGGATTCCTCAAGCCCAAGAGTTTGAGGTTGCTGTGAGCTATGATGGTATAGCAGTCTACTTGGGGTGACATAGTGAGACTTTGTGTCCTCCTCCCCCCCCAAAAAACCAAACCTATTCTACACAAGAGAGCTGAGAAACCAGTGTGGGTAATATTTGGTTATCATCCAATATTATTTGAATAGAGAATAAAGGAATGTAGCTGAACATCCTCCATTTAAAAACCAATTCCTAGGCCACGCATGGTGGCTTATTCCTGTAATCCTAGCATTTAAGGTGGCCAAGGTACCGTGTTTCCCCGAAAATAAGACACTGTCTTATATTTCTTTTTTCTCAAGAAGACACACTAGGGCTTATTTTTAGGGGATATCTTATTTTTATTAAGTATAATCCAACAGGGAGGAATGTAACCGCCATGCTGAGACGCGATGGCTGGGGCTGGGGGCCGACTCCGAGGCCGTGCCCGAGGCCGTGCCCCGGGGCACTTTTCGCTTGCCCTGCCTGTGGGCGCCTTGAGCAACTTGCATCTTAAGGAAGAGAAAATCAAACCAGATGCCAATGGTGCTGTTGTCAAGACCAATGCAAATG